AAGGTCAGGATTAATCTTCTTGATCATGGCTCTCCACAACTTCCTGTCCATTATAGTGTTAATTAACTTTTGACACTTTACAATTCCTCTCTTTGTTCTGTTATCTATTCACTTTTTCTTTTATGTCACTTCAGGCGATCATGGCTCTCCACAACTTCCTGTCTATTATAACACTATTTAACTTTTGACACTTTATCATTCCTCTCTGTCTTTGTTTTTCTATCCATTCACATCTTTTATCTGCCATGTCTCTTCAGTATATAGGTGATCATGGTTCTCCACAACTTCCTGGCTATTATAGCACTATTTAACTTCTTTCTTTATCATTCCTCTTTGTCTTTCATTCTTTATCATTCCTTCTTCTATCCATTCATTTCTTTTATTTTGTCATATCCCTTCAAGACATTGGTGATCGTGGCTCTTCACTATTTCCTATCCATTATAGCTCTAAATAACTTTTAATTCTTTATCATTCCTCTGTCTTTGTTCTGCTATCCATTCACTTTTTCTTTCTTCAGGACTTTTGTGATTGTGGCTCTCCACAACTTCCTGTTTATTATAGTTCTAAGTAATTTTTCCACAACTCTTTCCTGTTTATTATAGTTCTAAGTAATTTTTCACCCTTTACCATTTCTCTTTATCTTTGTTCTGCTATCCATTCACACTTTTTCAGGACTTTTGTTTGTATCCTGTTTATAGTTCGGTAATTTTTCACCCTTTGCTTCTTCTATCTTCCTGTTTATAGTTCTAAGTAATATTTACCATTTTTTTATCTTTGTTCTGCTATCCATTCACTTTTTCTTTCTTCAGGGGATTGTGGCTTAAATTCTCTAGGCCATCTTTTATCTTTGTTATCCATTCTTTTTTTCTCAGAAAATTTTAACTCTCTCTATTTGATTATATGTATCGGTTTCCTTTTGGTTCCCCTTTTACCATAAAACTTCCTTGTTGTTTACATGTTCAGTCCATGATATTCTTAGTATTTGTTTGGGAGAAGCTAATCAATATTTGAATTTGGGGGTTGAGGAATTATTATTATTTACATTATTTATATGTGATCCATTCACTTTTTTTCTTTTTGTTATGATTGTGGCTCTATTATTACAATACAGACTGGCCTTCAATTTTGTTCTGCTATCCAGACTTTTTTCTGTTGCTTTCTGATTGTGCTGTAATGTGATTTTTTCTTTATCTTTGGTAAGTTGGAATGTCTCACAACTTCTGTTTTATTATAGTTCACCCTTACCAATTATCTTTGTGAATAAGCTTTCTTCAGGTTTTTTTTGTGATTGCACTCACTGTTTAATGCTAATGCAATAGTAACTTTTTTCTTTCTTCTTAATAATCTAGAACATGACACATTTCTTTATATCCATTTCCTTTTTTCTTTCTTCAGGATATCTTAACATAATTAGTAATTTTTCACCCTTTACCATTTCTCTTTATCTTTGTTCTGCTAAAACCGATAGAGAATATAAATATAATACATGTAATGAAATTAAAGTAATATATATTATTAAATGAAATTGTTTAAACAGTTTGTATATTTATTGCCAGTGATGTCGTTGGCTCTTGTTAGATGAGATGACAAATAAGATCTTGTCTCTCTTGGAGTACTTGGAAGCAACAGAAAATCTGGGGAAGAAATAATAAAAAAAAACTTACATTTGTTTTTCTTTTTTTATCAGGAATTCACTAACTTATAGTTAAACAAGAAAATGTTTTTATCATTTACAGGGAAACTCGATGTACATTTTTTCAGTAACGGGCAAATGTCTTAAGCCAAGAAATTGGCCAATGTTTGTCGCTGTTTCTCCCTTTTCAGAGCATTTAACAATGTCTAATTTCACTTCCATGGTGATAGCTTTTCTTTTCTTTGAAGCACTGCCATCAGAAGAAGATACATTATCCTTGGTAGCCATAATAAAAAGCAATAAGTTTCCATAAACACAATACAAGCGAAAGAGAGTGAATGCACAAAAATCTAATGTGGCATTCAACCAAGAACTGACCCACACCACTTTACATAGGAGGAAAATAGCACAAGTTCAAAACGAGATAGATGGAGAAATGTCATAACCACGAATTGTCATAGGTCATACTTACTGTATTTCAGCAATTGTGCCCCCCAGCCTTCATGATAACGTTAGACTTGAATCTTTATAAAGACTAGAGGGCACAATGGCTGAAAAATTGTAATAATAACAAAGATGAGGATAATGGTTTGCATATAATAAACCGAAAACTGTCCAGCATTCACTGCCATATTTCTTTCTTTCTAATGATATTTTCCTCTCATTGTACTTTGCTTAGTTTCTGGAAGGCCTCTTTTTGCTTTCTCGATCCACCTTTGGATTTCTGTGTCACCCTGTCATCTGTTACAAAACTACCTAGACAGGTAAATTTCTCTACCTGCTTGTCTTTGACATCCATACTATGCAGACGTCCTGGGTAAGATGATAAACTACGTCCAACATCAAGGCCTCTGATCATCTTAATTGCTGGTGTTCCCAGGTCCACCCTGACCCGGGGTGGTAGCACCTGTTAGAGTCCCAGCTATGGGCAAATAGTTGACCACTCCACAACCTGACTCAAAACACTATGAAAGTGTAAAAATAGATTTTAATACCGGAAATACGTTTTAAAAAAATTAGTATTGAGCAATAAATATTTAAAAAAAAAAAATATTACCAGAAATAAAAATCTTGTCAGCTTTAAATAACTCATTGAGGTTAATATGCCACAAAACAAAACAAACCCAACTATACATTTTTGAAAAAAATATTACCAGCTATACATTTTTGAAAAAAAAAAGGAAATTTTGTCAGCATTAAATAACCCATTGTGGTTGATATGCCGTAAAACAAAACAAACCAAACCCTGCTATACAGCTCACACATTGGGTTGTCTCTTTTACTGATGACCATGTATTCTGTTTTCTTACAGTCAATTGTTAATTGTAAGTCTGCATATTAAATAACCTAAAATAATGCTAAGCAAAAGAAATGAGAAATTTCCCCATTTCCCTCATTTTCCACGGGCCTTCATTGGCCTTTGTAAGGAGCTTACAGGACTGCTGGTGTGCTGACAGCCATATCGTGTTGAAACACCAGTTCTCTTATGATCAACAAAGTTAAGCAATATCAACCTGGTCAGTAATCTAAATAGGTGACTGCTTGGGAATGCCAGGTGCTGTAAGTTTGAATGTGTGGGTGGTATGGCTTGGATGTATGGCTTAGAATTGTTAATAGTAAACCTAAGTTCCAATTCCAGTTCGGTTCATTATATTCACTTACATGCAAATACCCTTGGGAAAGATATGGATCCACCTCTTCTCTCCCCAGCTATGGGTTAATTAGTATGACTTGTATCGGTGAATAATTATTATTTCCTAAAAATATTTTCTGTTTTGAATAACCTGCAAAGGATTGATAAGCTGTAAAAAAAAAAACAATCAAGACTTTTTGTTTACATCTTTCATCTACATACTGTTGGAGGAATATGGTACAGCTTACCTCTAATGTCACAATTATTACTGGTAGATTTTTTTTTTAAAGAATGCTTGTAGATTGGGACCATGTTAAAAATTCTTTAACTTTTAATTTTGTCCTTCTATTAAACTATGTGCATATTGTCTACCATTTTAAGAAATGGTTTAACAAAATATGGTAAGTGCAACACTAGAATCCGAAGGCACATTGGAATAGCCAAAGTTGCATTCCAAAAGCTAAGCAGAGTATAAGAAACAGAAAAAATTTGTTAGAAATGAAGAAAAGAGTACTGAACTGTTACATGATATCAATCATCCCATATGGCAGTGAATGCTGGACAATCTCAAAGATTAAGAAGAAACTTGATGCAGCAGAAATGCAATTCTATAGAAGGATGCTGAGAATACCATCAAATGAACAATTGTGCAATGACAAAGTTTTAGAGAAAATGGGAATGAAAAGGAAACATACTTACTATCAGGAAGAGACAGTTGAAGCTTCTAGGGTGCATAATGAGGAAAGAGGGCTTGGAAAATCTGATACTCACATGACAGATTAAATGCAGGAGGGACAGAGGAAAACACTGCATGACATACTTAGTGAGCTTGAGTAAATGGATGGCAGGACAATGTTTAAGAAAAATAATAAAAAGACAAAATTTATTAAGAGTTACGAAGGACAGGAAATTGTGGAGAGCCATAATTGCCTACATGCTGAAATGAGATGGCATGTGAAGAAGAAGAAAGAGAAGAAAATGGTGGTCTTATTTTGGGCTTTAAAGCATCATGAATATTTGATATGTCTTTGGGTGGGGAAAGGTTAATATGTAAATTGTTTGTTGCTAGAATGGTTTCAATGAAAATAAGTTATTTCTTTACTTTGATTTCAAGCTATTGACTTTTTTTAATGAAAAGTGACAATATTATAAGGAAAAGCAATCCAAAATTAATCAGTTTAGTTCTTCATGTATGTCAGTTAATCAACTCTTGTGTGAAATTCTATGCTAATACATTGTTATTACATGATTAATTAGTTGGACTAATATCCTTATCTTTGTGCATGAAAGAATTTTGTGACTGGGATCATGGAGAAGGTGAAAATTGTATTTTTTGAAAAAAAAAAGAAAACATTACTGGATATGAAAAGAACCTGAATAATGCTGAAAATTTGAACAGGCAAAATGTAGTGACTACCATATATGTTGGTGTACAAGGTGACCTTTTAACTTTACCCTCCCCCCTCCAAAAGAAAAATAAGGGTCTGTCTTATACTTCAGGTATAAAATGTAAACTTCAAATCCTATGGTAAGTTAACACCTGTCTTGGTAACTATTGACGCAAATATTTTTATACTATCTTGATAATTAAAATAATGTAAAAATCTAAAAAGTAGTAAAAACAATATACTATTGTAAATTTAAAATTTCTATGACGTTACATTTAAGTTCTTTTTTGATTTATAACACTCAGTTGTTAAAATTTAAGAATTCTCGAAAATAATGCATTTTTA